TGAGGGCAATGAATGTACAAATGTGCTTTACACAATTGATGTATGTATGGATTGTGATGAGTTGTATGAGCCCCTAATAAAATGATTAAAAAAAAACCCCAGCAAAACTCTACACCAGTGGTTCGCAACCTTCCTAATGCCATGACCCTTTAATACAGTTCTTCAGGTTGTAGTGACCCCCAACCCTAAAATTATTTTCGCTGCTACTTCATAACTGTAATTTTGCTACTATTATGAAACGTAATATAAAGATCTGATATGCAGGATGTATTTTCATTGTTACACATTGAACATAGGGATTAATCACAAAATATGTAATTATAATTCACGAAGTATCATTTTACAAACAAAACTCACCAATAAGTGTCCAACAATAGGAGACATATTAATTAGCCAGTCAATACACATTAGAGTATCATAAGAAACAATGTAGAAAATGTAGTAGCACTAAGAGAGGTTCAAAACAAAGTGGCATTAAATTAACAAACAAACAAAAAAGGCTATGATGATTTAAAACTTCAGCTCAGTGCAAGATAAAAAACAGCAAAACTGGGCATTGTACAACCAATACTGCTGCTTTCAACACAGTAGCTGCTTTTAACAGAGTAGCTGCTTTCAACACAGCCAACCCTGTCACATACACCTGTATTTGTACAGGGTGTATGTGATGTATGTGATGAGGTTGGCGTGATGATGTCAACAGGCAGTTTACTTGTATGTGGGTGCATCTGCACGTGAGCAGATCCGCCTGGAGACAGAGGAGCGGTATCTCAGTTCCTCAGACTATTGGAAATATGTGTTTTCCGATAGTCTTAGGCGACCCCTGTGAAAGGGTCTGAAACCCACAAGTTGAGAGCCACTGCTCTACACCCAGGCATAGCACATTTAAATGCAGAAAGCCAAAGACAATGGGGAAGGGGTGGGCATACATAGAGAACAGGAATAAGAATTACACCAAACTTCTCTTCAGAAATCATGTAAGAAGAATGGAGCAAAGTGAAATATTTAAGGTGTAGAAAGAAAAAACAAATACTATCTAGAACCAATTTGGAAGTGTGTTTATTCTAACTCATTGCAAGTCTATACTGAGGCAAAATCTGTATGGGAGCAGATAACCTCCTCCTCAGAGACCAGTGGGTCCCCCCACCCCAGTCACTAACCCCATGTCTCTCCCAGAGCCCAGCACTCCCAGAGCTCTTTCTGAAGGTATTTTGTTTTAAGGTATCTGTATTTCCAAGAAGTGGTAAAGCGTTATTTAAAATGGATTAAGATTAGTAGAAACAACAGAATTCATATAATCAATTAAGACTAGAATGCAGAAAAAGAAGGAAAAGTTAAAAAAAAAAAAAAGTGCAGGTGTTGCCTGAAGTCCCTTTGGGCATTCCACTGCACACACATCTGTGGTCCCACAAGCTTTGCTTTTTTTTTTAAATTAAAAGATTGTTTTAGCTTCTGAGGAAATCTAGTATTGTATCCCCAATCCGCCTAAAACAACAAACAAACCCCAATAGCTGGTGCTGAGTAAATATTTGTTCACTAAAACCTCTCCATAAAGAAAATAAAGAAATATATAAAAGATCATTTTATTGGTGGTCTTACAATTCTTCTAGCAACCCATACCATCAATTATATCAAGCATATTTGTCATATGTTGTCATCATTATTTCCTAAACATTTACTTTCTTTTTGAGCCCTTGGTATCATCTCTTTTTTCCCTCCCTCCCCCAGGTGAGCCCTTGATAAATTATAAGTTATTATTTTCATATCTTACATCAACTGCTGTCTCCCTTCCCCCTGTGTGTATGTGTGTTTATGTGGCCATCCCTGCGATTAGTTCTCCCTTCCTCCCCTCCACTTCCCATCTTCCCCTGACCCTCCCGGTTTTGATACTCTCATTCCTGTTCCTTTATTTCGTGTGTCGTGAGCTCTTATCGGTACCTGTGTACATGGCGCCAGTCTAGCCTGCAGTGAAAGGCAGGACTGGGGTCATGATAGTGGGGGCTGAGGAAGGCTCAAGGACGCAGGGGAATATTTTGTGTTTCATCGGTGTTCAAGTCACATAATGTTCCATATCAGAGAAGATAAAGTAAATTGACGCATACCTGCACAACAAATAGGGATGAAGAAAAGACAAACTATGCTAACACTAACTCCCCAAAAGAAAGGTGGTTTAGCTACATTATTTTCCAACAAAGCAGATTTAAGAATAAGGGTAGTCCGCAGGGACAAAGAGGGTCACAGTGAAAAGAAGGGTCAATTTTCCAAGAAGACATAACTATCATCAACGCATACACAATTAGTATCAAAATATAGAAAGCTAAAACTGAGAGCTAAAGGAGAAATAAATAAGCCCACTAACATTTAAAACTCCTTAGTAGTAACTGGTGGGAGAACGATAAGGCTTTCTGTTCCCGTAAAGATTTATAAACCCCAAAACCCAAATGGCAGTTCTACTGTTACATATAGAGTTGTTGTGAGTCAGAATCAACTAGATGGCAGTGGGCTTTTTAAAGATCATTAACCGGGAGACCACTAAAGATTTAGCTGAACTAAACAGCACTACCAATCAACTGAGATCTATTTGACATTTCTGACTATGTCAAAGGCAGCACACACACATTTTATCTGAAACTCATACATAATATTCAAGTCAGACCACAATCTGGGCCCTAAAATACTGCTTAACAATTAAACAGGCTATGTCGCTGGGAGTTAGGTGTTGCACTGCTAGCTGAAGGGCAGCAGTTCAAACCCACCATCTGCTCTAGAAAGATCAGAAACCCTATATAGGGTGGCTGAGTTGGAATCTTTATGGCAGTTGGTTTTTGATGGAAGATAAAAACAACAGAATCGCAAAGTTGTTAAAAATGTATGGAACACTTCACCCATTTGGGTGTCATCTTTGTGCAAGGGCCACGCGAATCTTCTGTGTCGTTCCAATTTTAGTGTATGTTCTGCCAAAGTGAGCACAGAATCGCAAAGTTTTATAAAGCAAAATGGGACTACTTATTGGATAAATGAAACCTATTCACAACACAGCTATATGAATCCAGCTGAGAAAAAGGAACTAAGTTCTAGTCCTCCCCACTCGTCAAAACAGACAAACACACACAGTTGAAAAGCACTGGTAGGAGTCCTCAGAACTCAGACATTTAAGTACATCCTTGTTTATGAAAGAGTCCATTGACTTTACCCTGCAGACAACTCTGACAAACAGGGAGATTTCTCAGCCCCCAATAGATTAGGTACAGCAATTAAGATGGGTTTGGAGGCATCACCATCCAGATCAGCAGTCTAAGAAATGACTGAAGAAAGAGCTGAGAAAAAAAAACACCCCAAATTAAAAATCGCAAACCCAAATACTGTCCATGTACAATTAATTGTGCAGGTGCAAACACTTCCATATCCCTTGAAATTAATACTGTCATACTCTATAGCCCATTAACTGGAATCATTAGAGGTAATCACTCTCATTGTCATTGTTAGTTGCTCTGAGTCCATTCAACTCAGGTGATTCCGTGTGTAGAGTAGAACTTCTCCATACTTTTCAAGGCTGTGAACCCACGTCTA